TTCAAACAGAAACCAATCGCCATGTTTAATTTTTACTACTACTACTCAATTTTAAAGAGAATAAAATGCCACAAATTGATTAGTAAAGAGTGTACTTTAGCTCCGGAGTGCAGATCTAGTAACTAAGAAACAAATTATAATAACTCAAAGCTACGGAACATTATCTCCCCAGAACAAATAGAAAAATGGATATGGTGTTCATTACATCAGTACAGAAATACATTAATTTTTTACCGGGGCATAGAAATATATTAATTTTTTTTTCAGCTCCAAGAAAAAACCATGTTAATCGAACATAAACGTTACACAATATATGTATATAGTACACAGTTACAACAATCTCCTTAAATTTTTCATAAATGGTTAAACAGTTGTAGGAAGAAATACATTAATAAGGAGGAATATGCAGATAAAACTACTTTCTTTCAAATAAATAATTTTTAATGTGAGAAATAATAACGATTTTTTTGAGAAAAAATAATTTTCTATAACATATAGGATTTTCTATAACCTATTTTATTAATATATGGTAGGTATATGATGGTTAAGCTGGATAAGGTCGAAGTTTCGTAGTTAGGTGATACCTGCTATTAAAAATAGAGGAAACATATATATTTTTTTTCTTACCCTCCAAAATGTTTAATGAAATAATTTACATATATAGTATACATAATAATACAATATATACATGCAACAAATTCCTTCCACTGCCCGAGGGCATTTTAATGAGAGGAAACATAAACAACCATGTTGAGGTATAATGATGCGAAACCGCAATCACTCAGTGGGAATAACATGGTAAAAATATAACTATACATATTTTAATAATCTAATTGGATTATTTTACCTTGTTCGAGTTAGATTATAAAAACCAGGTTCACATTTTTATTTATTATTACCTTTAGTTCCAGTTTATGAGCAATAAATAAATTTTAATTTATTTTTCGATTGATATACCGATTAATTGATAATTTTTAAGCAGAAGGATGTTTTAGTTATTCCTTTCTAATAATTCTGATCGCAATAAAATTATTATTTAAGTAATAGAATCTTTGTAACATTACATGTTACCGACCTTTTTGAATTATTTTACAGAATTTCAGATCGTGATGAAAATGAATTAATGTCACCGAATTAGCGGCGGTTCGTTCTAGAGCTATTAAGTAGAATTATACCTTAACCTTGCCGGTTTATCATAGAATATTATGATATTAAAATTTAACTGATTTATGATATGGAAAAGGTTATCAATTATGAATTTATTTTTTATAATTTTTTCTATGATTTTAAATGCTAAACATCTATATATTTAAAAATATAATAATGCATAAATTTTCGGCGTATACGAGCTTTTATATATATAGCTTTCAGCTTTCAGCATGGAGGAGTAATATTATATATATATATATATATATAATATGGTATACAGTTATTATATATATAATATATACAGTTATATATATATATATATATATATATATATATATATATATATAATATGGTATACAGTTATTATATATATATAATATATACAGTTATATATATATATATATATATATATATATATATATATATATATATATATATATAAATATAGGGGGCTGGAGTAGACTTGCGGGCTAAGGCGCTTGCAATAGGTAATCTTGGATGGGTGACCGTCCACCAAGGAAAGCCACGCTGCCCGGGATTCCTCCCCCACCCTGGTATATGAGCCCCGTCAGTCTATTGGAGTCAACTCATACCTTGATGTCCTTACCCCGTAATTTAAATCATGAATCGGGATTTTTTCTAGGAGACCACACTCGCGTTCAAAGATCTCCGTAGTCTGTATTGCTAACCGAAAGGAATAATATATATATATATATATATATATATAATATATATATATATATATATATATATATATATATATATATATATATATATATATATATATATGTATATTATTATTATTATAAGCAATTATAGTAAAGATAGGTATCTCAAATAAAATTTCATTTATTTTTATCTAAATTATTTCTTATTTCACTAAATATACAAATTTTTCGTAGGTAAAGAAAAACATTATTATTAAAATGGAGCCCAAACTCAGAACAAGCGTGCTTTTAAAGTAGAAGTGATCTTACAAACAATAATCTGATGAAAAAATTCCAGATGGATTCTTTTGCAACCTTTTATCAGTCTAAGAATAGGATTTGGCGTAAGGTATTTCAAATGTTTGACTTGTACACTAATATCCAAAAAAATCCAGGAATAATTCTGTTTAGTAATTAAGAAAAAAAAGAAATTAATAGATTAGTGGTTTTGGTTGTGGGCCGGGTGGCCAAATGGGCTAAAGAGTGTGCACAGCACAGCCGTTGCCCGGCAACCTGACATATGAGACAACGATGAAAAATAGTTCCGAGTTCGCATCCCGGTGCCGGAGGAGTCTTTTAAATCCCCGCCCACACTCCCTGGCCCGGGAGAACCCTGTAGTATAGCCTTAAAGACGAGGAAGGGGAGGACCTCCCCCTCCCCCCCCAAAAAAAAGATCAAAGTTGGCTCCCTGAACGAACAGAAAAATGTGACAGTTGGGCAGCGGGTACACTATGGACCAAGAGAGCATCGGTTGGAAGCCATACCTAGCGCGAGCCTTAACCGGCCTCCAACCTAACTCCCTAGACCGGGTACGTCCAAGAAGATGCAGGCACACAGTAGGTGCCCACGGAATAAGACAAACACTACTACCATAGCTTCCGTCCACTCGTCCACACATTGTACCAGAAGTTAGCCTGAACAACGTCAAGACTAGCTGAACACTGGTGTCGTGCAGCGAGTGGTCGTAAACACATCGACCACTACGACCGCCACGGCCGAACAGTGCAAGCACTCTCGCCGTCCACCCAAAGCGCCGCCGGGGCTCCGGCGACGCCCCGTAGTACCAATTTGATCGGGAAGCACTGCTTCTCTGACCTCAGAGCACGATTGGTCTCAGGCTCGGCAATCTTACGATCGCTACGGCTTTACATTGCCTGCCGATGTACAGGAGGATGCCTGCACCTCCGCAGTCAATGAGGGACACGACTCAAACCTAAGGGTTCGAGACGATGACCGTCCCCGGAGAAAAATGTGACAGAGTGTACTTTAGCTCCGGAGTGCAGATCTAGTAACTAAGAAACAAATTATAATAACTCAAAGCTATGGAACATTGTCTCCCCAGAACAAATAGAAAAATGGATATGGTGTTCATTGCATCAGTACAGAAATACATTAATTTTTTACCGGGCACAGAAATATATTAATTTTTTTTTCAGCTCTAAGAAAAAAACATGTTAATCGAACATAAACGTTACACAATATATGTATATAGTACACAGTTACAACAATTTCCTTAAATGTTTCACAAATGGTTAATCAGTTATAAGAAGAAATACATTAATAAGGAGAAATATGCAGATAAAACTACTTTCTTTCAAATAAATAATTTTTAATGCGAGAAATAATAACGATTTTTTTGAGAAAAAACAATTTGCAAAATTAAAATAAGCTATTGCAACAATGAACGAATAGCAATTACTGAACATACACTGCACAACCCGTTTGCTGCTCATACCAATTATGCTTACTTCATGTTGAATAAAAAAATAAAAAATAAAATAAACTTCATACCACATTATTTACTACATTTTTATTAGCTGTTTTTATGAATATATGAAGGTGAAGACAAGCGCAAGCATGAAATAAAACAAGTTACCAATGTACTATTTTTCTTTGCTTATTTTGTGGTAATATGCAAATATTATTTTTTAATTTCTTTCACTCTCAAGAATTTTAGCAACGATGAAAAACTTCTACCAAACAACTGGTTTCCTCAATGAAACGGAATAATTGCTGTTCCACCAGGAATCTCTTTTATTGATGAAAGTGTACTGATCGAACAACAGAAGGATTTTCTATAACATATTCTATTAATGTATGGTAGGTATATGATAGTTAAGGTGGATAAGGTATATGATCACACATTCTCTTTTTTAGTATAAAAACACAAAAAATAGAGTTTCACCGTCAGAATGATTCGATGAATCAATGAAATATTTAATTTTAAGTACTTTTTAAATTATCCTGATTGGAAAATGATAAATATTTTGAGTTTCTCCAAAGATTAAGTATAGATTTATGATTCTTGGATTGATGAATTTGATGAAACTCGTAAAAGATGATATTTATGGCATAGAGGCTTTTGGGCATCTTAATTTTTCAGAATGGTACTTTCAAATATACTTAAAGTTGATTTCTACAACTATATGGATAGTCCTGGATTTTTACGTCCAATTGTAAGACAAAAAAAAAGAGGTAAAAGGAGATCTTGATGTCACAAATAGCCTGAATTTAAAAATAAAATGGGAGCATTTATGTATTTTAAAGAAATTACCAATATTTGCTAAGTTTTATATTTTAATTATTATTAATAACTGAAAGAGGAATTACTATTGACTCTTGTCTTATATATATATATATACATATATATATATATATATATATATATATATATATATAAATATGTGTGTGTGTGCGTGTGTACATAGATAGATAGAAAAATAAACTTTATTTTGGTACAAAGGACCCTTAGAATAACAATAATGAACAAGTTAAATATATATATAAGTTAGCATATTATAAAATATGTTTTAGTGTTAAGATATATTAACATGTGATCGATTATTGATATTGTTTGTTTTTTGATAAGGTTAACCTGCAATAAAAAGATATAAAAATCTCATTGTTAATATTGATTCAATCTTTCTCATACTAACAATCATAACTTATATATATATATATATATATATATATATATATATATATATATATATATATATATATATATGTATTATTTAGGTGTTTATTTATCAAAAGTATACTGATATTTTTTTATAGGAATATCCTCTTCAATTTATAAGATATACATGAAGGAGAGAATGACAAAAAGGATAAATAAAATGGAACGTGAAATAATAATTTTTTTCTGAATTACTTTCCTACATTTTGTAAATAAAAAAAAATTGTACTTAATAATTTCTTTTCTTTACAAAATGTAGTGCGCTTTATTTTTGAAACAATAATATTATAAGATACAATAAATATAAATTATTATACATCTATTCTTATAAATAAATTCATATATTTGCTAGAAATATAAAACTTTCTTTTTTCTCCATCTGTACATTACTTATCATCATAGGTTTATTTAATTTTGTTATAAAATATGACAATTTATTCATAGATTTACGGTTTGTTTCTAAATGGATTACATGTTGAAGTGGTATTAAGAAATTGTGTTGATTTCTTATGTTTGAGAAACATCCATCTATTTGGCAGACAAATTATTTTGAATGTTGAAGAAATGTTACTTTTCGGGAAAAAGTTCGTCATATGTAAATTGGTGGTTAATGTTATTAGCGACATCCATGACATGTTTTGCTACCATTTTCTCAATTCTAGGCTTGAGGGCATCCATGACTGCCCTTTTGTTTTGGTTCAAGGCGTTGTTTACTGCGGTTCCTGAAAATAAAAATTAAATCAATTAAGCGCAATTTTCAAAATAGCATTCCCTCTAATGATTGCAAATAAGAGATTTTAAAATAAAACAAGAATTTAACAGTCGGTAAAGTAATTTATTGGCATGACTTTGCGGAACGACTAGCGTATCGAACCACATATCACTTCTTCGAAATAATTCATAAATTACATTTTAAAAAACGACTGTTAATGTTCTGTATTTATTCATAATTTAGTTCTTTTTCTTTTTTTATTTAGACACATGCTAAGCATATTCTAAAATTGAAACTCACTTTTATAATTAATTTTTATATCTTATTTATTATTATAAAAGATCAACAATTCAAGAAGCAACATAATTAGTTGTAAACAAATCCAAAATACAAAGCCATGGATAATACAGATTTCATCGGTGGACTTAAGCAATTTTTTATCCAATCGAATTCGCCTTTTTTTTTTTACTGAACATAAAATGATATAAAAATATACTTTTTTTTTCTTTAACTATTTATTAGAACCTTTCATGGTATTGACAATCAGCAGATGTGTTGTGATGATAAAGATTGACATTATTGGCATAAGAAAGGATAGTACCCCAGTAGCATCTCTTCCTGGTCATTATTTACTTCCTTGATTTAGGTGAGGAGATCTCTCATCCAGCTCCTTTTTAGTCTCCTCCTGATGGGCATGTCGTTTATAAGTATGTTTGTGTGTCCGTGTAGTTTGAGATGAAAACGAGAATAGGGAATACGTATGTGTTGGTCTACAGTTGGTTGTTGTAAGTCGTTATATAAAGTTATGTTGTTGACGTACCAAGAAGGTCCTGTTACAAGTCGTAAAATTGTGGATTGAAATAACTGTAGTTTATGTAAAGGCGTTTTTGTTGTTTTTTGCCGAAGCGTAAATCTGAGAGGCTTATGTCCAGATGGGTTTGTGCAGGTAAGTGAATGTATTTTGTTTTTTTCGAACTTTCAATTTCGATTTAGAAAAAAGTAAGTACAGTATTTTCAGTCGCTTGTTTAAAGTCTGTCATTTCATTTTGACGTGGTGGCCCACGTCATCCTTCTGTCGAATATTAGTCCCAGGTAACGTACTATGTTTGTCTGAGGAATTTGGATCTCTCCTATATAAGCTGGTGGACACGTGTCTCGTTGAATATGTTGTGACTTATCATGATTTAATCTTATTTTCCAAAGTGAGTACCGACTTTGTAAAGTCAGTAAGTGATTTTGTAAATTCATTGGGGCTAGTCTGGGGTTATGGTGTTTTGTTAAAATTGTATCATCAGCGTAGGTGGCGGTCAATGTTTCGGAGTTGATAGGTATGTATAATGTAGAGTAAAGAAGACAGTATTGATCCTTGAGGTACTCCTGCTAACACTGGTCGAATTGAGGAAATTTCAAGGCCCTGTCGAACAGAGAAAAATCTGTCGAAAACGAAAGATTGGAAAATGAGGTAGTAGTGTTTTGAGTTTAAAGAGCTTAAAGAGTTTAAGTCAATGGTGCCAGACTTTATCGAATGCCTGGGCAATACCCAGAAACACGTCGATAGCGTGTTGTTTTTCCTCTAGTGCTCCATTAATGTAGTCAGTAACTCTGTGTAATTGTTGCGTTGTTGGATGGAACGTACGAAAACCGAACTGATGGTCAGGAATTATATTTTGCTCCGTGCGTATGTCAAGCATATACTTTATTTATATTTTAAAGAATTAAATTACTAAATAAATGAAATGTTGAGACTTTTTTCTTTCCCAATAACTCTCGAAATTATTGTTGATATAAAACCTTGTTGATATAAGTAATCTATGAGAATGATAAAATAATCATAAATATATATATATATATATATATATATATATATATATATATATATATATATATATATATATATATATATTACATATATATATTGTATATGTAATATATATTACATTGAGCTGCCATACCCAGAGTTTTGTCTCCGTTAAAAAGGTTTCCCAACATGATGCTGCCAATACTCCAATCCACTGTGAGATCAGCACTCTTGTACTCCAAATATTTCTTTCCGTCTCTTTCAACTATCACGCCACTTAAAACGGCTTTGGCATCGACATCAGCTGAAAAATATGTATATCAGTATTGATAAATATGTGTATGATAAGAGGAAGTTAGACTAAAGGTTGATAATTGTTTTCACTTTTAAGTGCTGCGTATAAAAAATATGATACTCAATAAGTTTGCTGAACGAATATCAAATGTTGGCAGTGAGACTTTCGACGTGGTGAAGGTAGTACATAAAACATTGTTTGATAAGTATTTCCTAGTTAAATATAGGATTTATAAGATACTCTTTTTATAGACAACCGACAGGTGTTTGAAAGTGTTGAAAGATCCACGCTCATCGAAGATTTCCAAATCCCTTAGAAATTAGTAAGACTGATTGAGATGGTTCTTGTTTGTGCGAAAATGGTTCCGAATTTCCTCGTTATCGTTATCGGCGACTGGTAGGTAGATAACGCTTAATCCGTACGAACGACTCAGCTTTCGGCCTCAGACCAGCACGGATAGTTAGGTATAGCAGATGCTCTGAGGGCGCCCTCAAGTAAGAAAGAGATGGTTTAAGCTGGCATAAAGATGGTAAGCTATTTTTGAACAATCAGTATAACCTACCAATTCATTAAAATACAGTCTACTGCATCAAAGTAGAATGTTGCCTATTAAGAACTCATGAGAGTTATTTGCTTTGACTTAATTTGAAAAGTTGCCTTAATATTTATAATGGAAGAGTCATTGTGTGTGGCTGACTAAACAACGAATTTCCAATCTACCAGGTTGTCAAGAATTTAATATTCGAAACATTCATCGGGATTTCATAAGCCCTAGCATCAGTAGTGAGCCATTAAAGTTAAATATATAAAACACTAAAAATTTATTTAAAAATATTTCTATATATGTTAAATAATCGATGAGTATTAAGGAAATTTATAACTGTTATTATATTCAATTCGTCCTTATTTAATATAGCTGAAATATCTGGTCTAAGAGATAATCTATGTAAGCTTGCGGTGTAGTAGGGGCATATATATATATATATATATATATATATATATATATATATATATATATATATATATAATATATATATATATATATATATATATATATATATATATAATATATATATATATATATATGTATATATGTATTTCTTTTTCTTCTTCTTCTCTAAGGAGTTTATAGGAAATATATATATATATATATATATATATATATATATATATATATCATCTTCTAAGGAGTTTCTGAGCTCAAGAGAACAAAAATAAAGAACTAATGAAAACGATGATGACTCTAGGGTTTTACGCTTCAAAGTCAAATAAACTAACAAACAAACAAGATCTATATGGTCTGTAATACCAACAGAGTATATATATTCTATATATACTACACTTCAACTAACTAAACGCTTCAACTTTGAATCCTTAAAATAACCTAATGAGTGCAGTCTTCAATGTAATGTTAAAGATGATTATTTCGCCAGAACAATGAGCTTTAACCACTGTATCAGATATAGACGTGGTTTTGCGGTGTATTGGATGATTGAACCATGCAAAAAAGATGGTGAGCAGATGGCACGCTCTTAGAGTGATTACCCGTAAGAGTAGGGGTCTACCCAGGCGATGAATGCATAACGTTGAAGAAGATTTGTCAGTGGTGGTAAGAGCAAGTCTGGAGTTAGAGGTTGGAAATAATATAATAGTGAATAATAAATAATACTTATTAAGTTATGACTTATTGCATAATGTTGACTTACTGTTATTAGATTGAAACGGACCATTTCCTTTTATATGTATTGTCAAAATCCTCAGATTTATGTCATAGTTTCCTTCGATATTCATGTAAGGGAAGGTAACTTCGAACTCGAATCGTAACTTGTCCTTCTGTATGTCCGCCCTAGTAAAAAAAAAGATAATAAGTCAATAAGTAATAATAAGTTCAAAATATACCCTAGATAATTAAGCAAACATATTTTAATTTTACGTTTGGACAGGTTGAGTGCTAAATCAAAACAAAAAAGTAGAGCAATTTTAGACTAGGAAAACAATATTGCGACCGGCATAAAAAGTGAATGAAATGACATAATGATTAACTTTGATTGTTTCTGCTGATGGTTGTGGCATTTAGTCCACTTTATGTTAGCTGTGACATTTAGCTTTCTCAAAATTGTCGAACTAAATATTTTTCGTTTGGCACTCAAATCTCTTATTCAGCAGAAAATCCAGAAACGCAGTTATACATTATTGTCAAAATTGGAATTAGACGAAAAAACATAATAACAATTCTTTTTTTAGTGTTATAGAAAAGTATGAATTATGAAATATTAATTCAATCAAAATTTTATAATGTGCCAATCAAGAGGGAGCGGGGTAACTCAATGCAGTAGCGGATCCAGGATTTAATTTTTTTTTGTGGGGGGACTTCAGCCCGAATGATTTTTTTTTTCATATACATATAACGATCATTAATTTGGTAAAAAATTAAAGAAATTAATTACCTATACGAAATGGTTTTTAAGTGGTTCTTGAAGTCCTATTAAATATAATTACACGAACAAAGATACTTTAAGAGATCGTATTTAATATTTTTTTCTGTAAAACATGGTTAAATTTTACCATTGGGGGGGGGGGGGAGCTGGCTTCAGCCCGAAAGTCCCACCCGTAGATCCGGCTGTGACTCAATGGGTAAGGTAAGTGACAACATTTAATTCTTTATTGTGTAACATCAGTCTTCTATGGATCCTTGATTCGGGAGAACCCAGTAGGGTTCGTTGGGCGTTCCCAGCCTCTATAAAGTGATTAATTACGGGGGATTTGATTAATTAAATAATTAATTATGGAGGAAAACTTGGAGTTTTATCGTGATCCAAGTTCGATCATCTACCTGCAGAATCGTTAGCCTCGAAACGTTACCTCCTTACAAAGTACTGAACATGAGACCCTTCTTGGTTTGCAATCGTACGTAAGTTTTTTTATCCAATGAAGAAGAATGGCATGAAAAAATTCATATAAAAATAAAGAATTAGGATCCATATGTTGGAAATATACTTCGATGAAGCATCTATATTGTTTCGTAGCCAGAAATTCGTATATTTAATGGTTTATATTATTGCACCGCCGGGTGACAAGTAGCATATTATTATGACATTTCAGGACTGAGGTTTTTGACTATCGGACACATTTGCGGTAGAATGGCCCAACATATCTGGCCTCCAGTGCACATGGTACTCCGCGGGGAAGAGACTAGTTTACATTTAGTTTTAAAGCGTTGTTCCACTCTGAGCTTGTAAGAATTTTCCTGTCAAAAATAAACTTGTTAATCCATTAGTTTGATTAAAAATCGGAAAAATAAAAATATATTTAATACAAAAAACAGTTATGGTCATAGGACAACACCTTGTAAATTGGATTTTTTAAAACAATTTATTTCATTTCAATTTATTATGAGCTGGAATACATTTCCTAGTCGCAGATATCTCACAACGTTTAGGAAGAATTTCGATGTAATTATCAGTGACCGTGACGCAGCTTGTAGCTGCAGCTGTAATTAAATGCTGCCCGTGCGATAAATTTACGACTATTGTCACAGGAAAAATAACTAATATTCATACTTTAAACTTTTTATCTCGAACTTGGAAGTCCCCCAAACTCTTACGTCAGTTCCAATAGCTTTTAGGTCACCTCCTCTTATAAGGACGAATTCTTGAGGAATCTTCCACGGCTCGAAGGATGGAACTCCAAGTTCAGGAATACCTACGAAGATAAATTAAATAATATGAAATACTTTTAATATCTGATATTATAATGTATATTCTATAAGATACAATACAAATAAATAAAACATCGAAGGTTCTGTACAGAGGGCTAATACACTGTTTAAATATTTTACAAGGCAATTTAGAAGGTGATGTTTTTGACATTATTATTCAATTATAGGTATTATTCTAGAAGAAAATCAAACTACTACCTACATGAAGTGATTTTTGAGTAATCCTTGAAAGCAGAATAAAAAAAATGGCAATTGCTGGAACATCCTTACATTTAGTTCCTGCACGTGCATTATAATTTAAAAAAAGAGAAGATATTGTGATGGTTTAATTATTTAGCTCAGACCATTTATCAAAAACAAATATGAACAAGAAATAAGAGTTAGTTATATAATTATTAAATGGTCATCTTAGTCTATGTTATTGATTGTTTCATATTAAGTGTATTCCTAATTATCATTGTTGTAGTTTACTATACAAAGTTCAACGTTGTAAACATTAAACAATCTACAGTTTCTTATCATAGCGTACAGTTTAGATTCAGAGTTTAGTTTAATTATACTTGTATTGTCGTGCAGCCACAGTAGCATGGAGTTATGAGATTTGCCTGTAACGTAAGTGCTTGTAATGGTGTTGTAATTTAGGATTTTGAAGTTCAAAAATAAATTTGCGCATCAGGTACTGGATTGAAACTTCTAGTATACCATTAGTAACTGTAGTTAGATTTTCTATGAATTAAAGAATACTAGTCAAAATAAATCAACTTTTTTTTTTCTTCTTTCTACTCTTCCTCGCTCTTTTAGGCCATTAGAGTTTTCCCGAGCCAGAGGTAAGAGCGGGGGATTGATGAAAGAGTTAAAAGCCTCCGGCGCGTGATTTGAATTTGTAAATATGTTATTTTATAACAGGTTGCTCCGGGAAACGCATGTTATGTATTCGCGTTAGCCTGCTCGGCCACCAAACCCTCCTCCAGAAATCAACTTTTAATTTAAAAACTGTCAAGATGGGACATGAACCCTTACAAAAGGTAAGGAAAATCCTAAGAAGGATAATAGGGACTAAACTCGAGGAAGGAGTTCTCCGCCTAAGGATAAACAAGAAGATATATTTTATTTATGGCGATCAGTCTATATCCTAATTCGCTCGAATTCAGCGTATGCAATAGTTAAGAGAATGGACAAAGCAAGGACAGCGAGAAAACTTTATCATGAGAAGCGACATGGAATTAGGTCTATGGAAAGATTGAAAACGAGATGGATGAATATTGTTAAGAAAAAATGAGGATATAAGAAAAAATGGAATATCCATGAGGTGTGCAGCCAACGGGGATAACTGGGCAAACGCAATCGAGCAGGCCAAGGACCGCAACATGCTTCTGTTACGCGAATAATGAATAAAGCTAATGCATTTACTTAAAAATAAACTTGTTTAGCGAATTATATTTTATGCGTTGAACATTCTCCAAAAGTTTTTGTAAAATTATAAATTAGTAACAACATAACCAAGAGACATAACATAAATGTTAGGTAATTATTGTAAAAAATGCAAACCACACAGCCTTATGTTTCCAAAATACACTCAATGAAATCCAATCTCATACTGCTATTAACAGTATCATGATAATATGATCACTGTTATTATCATTGAATATCATGGATCGATTTTCGATTAGCTGTGTTTTTTTTTTGTGCTAATAATGGGCGAAACGTTGACGGGTTTTTCTTTCCTTGCATTTTGGAAACATGAGGCTGTGTGGTTTGGAATTTTCCAATATTAACCTAACTTTTAAGTGTTTGTTTATTTTATTTTGTTAGTATTAACTGTCAATGTTACACGCTATAGATACAACCAAATAATGTAAATCCTATTGATATATTATCATCAAGGTTTCAAACATATAAAATAAAACAAGGAAAAATACTTTAACTTACCAACAACGAGTTTTGGTCTCAGAGCTTCAATGGAGTTCCTTATGCATTCCTCGACTTTAGGGTCATTTCTTGAGCAAACGTTGATGTAACTAGCTGGAAAAAATTATAATACCGATTTATATTACTATTAATAATTTGAAAAAAAAAACAAAGAAAAAGGGATAAGACGATGTTTTTATTTTTCTCTATTTTTCCATTTTAACTATAATCACGCTTGAGAAGATTTTTTGTTTAACTGCTAACACATTATTTTATAGTGTAAATTTATTAATTAAGCCTACTGTTTATATGTTAACATCTAAATCAATGTCTTTCTGTTATTACTTTTGTTATCTTATTATTATTTTTATTTATTTATCAGGTTATATTATACTATTAATATATATATTTATTTATTAATTTTTTTTTTTCCATCACACTGCAAGTATTCCTGAGAAGATTTTATTTTCATTTCTATTCGTCTGCATATTATTATGTAAATCACTGTAGATATTATTACATTTTATGTTAGATTAGGTTTTTATTAGGTAGCCTATTGTTTATAAATTGTGCAGTTATGTATATATAAATATGTAATTTTTTTTTCCTTCTATCACAATAATAGGTATTTTTGAGAAGATTTTATGTTCATTTGTTTATTTTTTTTTAGTGGTTACATAATATTTTTTAAATTAATGTATATAAGATTAGAATTTTTATAAGTTAGTTTTTGGCCAGATTTGCATTTTCTTCTATACTTGTTCATCATTGTTATTATAAGGGGACTTAATCCCAGAATGAAGTTAAATTTTCTGTTATATTCTCTCTCTCTCTCTCTCTCTCTCTCTCTCTCTATATATATATATATATATATATATATATATATATATAGAGAGAGAGAGAGAGAGAGAGCTACATACATACATATATATATATATATATATATATATATATATATTTTTTTTTTTTTCCCTAAGTGATCATCCACGCTTATTCGATTCACCTTCATGCATGGCTCCATGCCTCAAAGACATACTACATGAATTACAATTGATATATATATATATATATATATAAAAAATAAGGGCGTACAACGTAGTGTAACCTGAGCTATATGGTACCACAGCCTTGACACATGGAGGAGAAGGAACAATAAAGAACTGTTGGAAGAAACGGGTCAGTCAATGTCTCATGACAAGAAGGAAAGGAGGTTAAGATGGACAGGGCATGTAGCTCGTAGCAATCCATCAGGACGCCTTTAACAACAATGAATACCAGAGTAGTAGGCAAGAGACCACGTGGAAGACCAAAAACCAGATGGATAGATATAATAAACAAAGATACGGCGGAGCTTTATGCCGCAAACTGGAAAGCAATAGCCCAAGATAGGCAGAGGTGGTGAAGGCTGATTCAGGCGGCCAAAGATCACCCGAAAAAAAAAAATATATATATAAATGTGTGTGTGTGATTGGTATAATTAATAAGATATATATTTACTTGAGGTAATTTTTGCTTTCAAAATTAGTAACAGTTATTTTCGTTGATTTCGTTTAAAATAATATATTAAACACCTTTGAGAAATAATATATAAAATAAATTATAGCCAAACATTATCTCTATTTATTGCTAGTGTGAAAAAGACATTTATAATTTATCAAATTTTTTTTACACAATTAAAAAATGAATTGACAACATATATTATTTATGATTCCTGTGAAAAAAAAAAACAGGAAAGTACTAAAAAAAAAACTAGTTTGCAAAGAAAATATATTATTTATTACTTCGGTTAGTAAACGATTAATTATTTATTAGCATAAGTCGTTAATTAATAATAAATCGTGTTGCTAATACTATAAATCTACAAAAGAATCAGGACGAAAAAACTCTTAATATTTATATATACATATAAAAAAAAAACAAATATAGGGGTCACTATGATAATGCAGTGAATCCGTTTCACAACTGAAATTAAAAATATTATATAGACGGTTTTAATATAATTTGTGGTATTGAACTTGCTGTGTACATAAAATACATAAGTTACGAAGCTTTAAGAAATTTTAGAAATGTTTGAAAAAAACAAAAAAAAACTTAAAATCGTAAGATTTATCCATTTGTTGTTTACCGCTGCCATCGACCCAGTACACTTTATCATGGAGCATAGCCTCTCATATCTTCATGATTATTATTGTTTAGACTAATTCTTATTTCCATGACTAAAACGATTTACAAATATAAGTTTTATGTTATTTTCCACAAAAATATTCGTTTTCGACATTTTGAACTAGATTGCCTGGGACAGCCAACTGTGCGGCAAATCTACAATTTATGTTTGATTCTTGGTCATATTCATCGCCGATTGACAATTGATGCATCCTCAGCCTTACGCGATAAGCTTTAGAAATCAATGACATGAATTTGACTTTGAATCTATGGCAATAATAATTTACTTACGAACATTAGCCAGCGAGATACCCAGTAGCATTACAGTAATGCACAAGAAGGAGTTGAAGTAGGCTGGGATGTCCATCGCTGGTGTTGAGGAGCTGTGCACTAGGCGATGGGGACACACGGTACCTAGTATTAGATGACAACCTCTCATTATATCAGCTGAGGCGATGCCACATCCTTGGAGTAGCTGACCAACCAAATTCCTCAGAGAAGTGGGTTTTTTGGACAAAGAAAATTACGGGTTGTTAAGAAAACGCAAGAAAAGTTGAAAAACATTCATTTACCCCCAACTAATGTATGATTAAAAATAAATTAGCCTATAACTTAGGTAACAGCCCCGTAGATTACTTTTTCCTTTAAATAACTATCATAAAAAAGGATTTCTTTTAATTTTTTAATTTTTTTTAATTTGATTTCATTTGTTTATTTTACATTAAGTTTGCCACCGCGTGGTAACGCATCGAGCAAGTGTGTTGCCGTTTATTCTGACTTCTATTATTCTTGATCCTTGTTAACATTGTCAGCAGGAGATCTCTAGGCCACTGTGTTTTAGTCGTCGTTGGGGCTCACCAGGTTACAGGAAGCAGGAAAGAGACAGAACGAGTGGGTTTGGATGATTGAGAGTAGAAGAATGAAAACATTTTTTTTTTTAGAAAAAATAACTTTATTCTGAGACTACAGTCCACTAGGAATAATAAAAGTGTTACAAATTTATCGATATTAGTTTGGTTAAAATAATAAAAAATACAAGCTAATAACAGTATATATTGTGTATGCTTATTGTATAGTATGCTCAGTATAGTATGCTTATTGTTATTGCGGTTGTGAAATAGTTGAAATTACACAGTATACAGAAGCAATTAATTTTACATATTAGCGAATGTTTGAATGTGGAGTAGGTGATGGAACGGAGTTGTTTGAAGGAATTTGTTGACGAGGATTGACGTATGGAGGTAAGGAGAGAGTTACAAAAGGAGGTAGCACGAATGACAAAGGATTTGCAGAAGGAAGTAGTTTTATGGGAGGGGACTTACAAATCTATAGGTTGAGACCTATGAGAGTGAATAGAGGAGCGTAGAGTAAGGAGTTCCAGGATGTAGGGATGGTTTTTGGCTCTGATAACTTGGAAAAGGAAAACACCAATGAATAATCGTCGTCGGGAGGGAGGATAAAGCCAATTCAACTCGGTGAACCAGAATGATCTCATGCGAACGCCTGGGGATCCCGAAGATGTATCTTATGAAACAGTTCATGAGTTTCTTTGGTCTCATTTCTAGCCTGACAGATAGCGTCCATACACCAAACACCGAAGTGTGGAAATATAAGGGATGTTAGAAGGAGCTGTTTGGTTTTTAGAAGAATACAATCATGGGATCTTAGGAGTTGTATAAGGACAGTTATGGATTTTTGGGTAATCTGGGAGATATGGTTATTCCAGGAGATGTTCTGGTCAAAGGTTACTCCTAGGTTTTTGGCAGTAGGGGAAAAAAATGGATGGGACGATTATTGAATTAAAGTAGAGGAAAGTAAGGAAGGGATCTAATGAGAGATCTGGACCCAATGAGAATTGCCTTAGTTTTATCTTACTTTTTTTCTTTAATTCACTTATTTCTACCCATCTGTTGATGCAGTCGATATCCTCTTATCCTCGATATCCTCCGGGCAGCCTCAGACATCTCAGAAGGTTAGAATGATTGTTAAATTTGGAAATTATTGACATATAGGTGGTAGCAGGAGTATTGAATGGCGTCAAGAAGGTCACTAATACAAATAGAGAAAAGATTCGGGGAGAGTGAGGAACCCTGAGATACACATCGTATTAGTTGAAGGGGAGATGATGAAGGTTTGTTCGAAATTACAACTGTCTGTGATCGGTCGGATATGAAGGAGAGGAACCATTTTATGTTCCTGTGTACTTGTTGTCTATGTAGGATTTAGGACTTTAAGTATGTTCTTATCTTTGTGTATGGTATATGGTGTACCTAAACTGTATAATTGTAATAAACCAAGGAGCATTTTTTTTTTAAAATTCATTTGGTCGTGTTTACTTGCAGATACATGAATATATATTTTTCGTAAGCTTGTTCTTCTGTCGTTTAACTCAAACTATATCTTCCGCTTTATTGAGGGTGTTCTGGATGTAAAAGGAAATATCTAAAGGGATGAAAGGGGACATCAAGAGCTTCAAAAAAGTTTATATCGAATCTGAAAATCGCCACTCTAATAACACTATTAATTCAGCCCAAACAACGAAGATGTTTTAATCCTCACAAATATGTGTTTTTTCTAAACTTTTAAAGATTTGTATTCGCTGTTTGAAAATATTTAATTACAAATACAATCGCTGGAATGCAGGATTAAAAAAAAAATGACAATTTTACATATTCTATATTAAGCAATTGTATCGACGATATAAACAATAGTTCGATTTTGGCAGTAATGTAGGAAATTTAATTATAAAACCTTTACATCAGACGTAGAATGTTAATAATTTTAGAGCACATCACTAGCGGATCCAGGATTTAATTTTGGCTTTAGCCCGAAAGCTTTTTTTTTCATATATATATATATATATATATATATATATATATATATATATATATATATATATATATATATATATATATATAACGAAACATACTTTGGAAAAAAAAGAAGAAAGAAACTGACTACCTATATGAAATAGTGTTCAGTGATTCTTTAAGTCCTATTAAACGTAATAACTCGAACAATAATACTTTAAGAAATGATTTTTTAATTTTTTTTAGTAAAAGGCGAAAGACTTACTCGTTTTGAAGGGAGACCAGAGGTAAAGTGCTCTCGACCAATCTCCGCTGGCTATAGTACCAGTGACGCGGTTGGGAGAGTAGCGCAGGGTTCACCTGGAGTTCCCTTGCCTGATTGTATATAGGTATGCATGTGTTTTTTTTTCTTAGTTTTAATTTTCTTATTTTTTAGGTTATTTTATTTTATTATCTATTGTATATACTTTTGATTATTATTTTGTTCCATTTATTTTATTTTTTTGTACATATGGTGTGAATGTCATCCTACCTCACTATAACCAATGTCCAACAGACAGATTGTTATAATACTCAATAAAGAAATTAAAAAAAAAAATTGTTTACATAAAACATGGTTGCATTTTACCATTTGGGAGGGGAGCGGGCTTCAGCCAACGAATTGTTTTCAGAATATTACCAATAATATTATACAATAACTCTCCAATTTGAAATTACCAATCTATTAAATCTTTAAATGCCAATCTGAAACTCGGTCTTGGTCTTTCGGTCTTAATAGTTCTCCACGAATCCTTCATCAACCTCCTTACAAAACTCCATTCCACAATGTTCTCTTTCTTTCAACACTTAAATTCAGTCTCATCGTCTATCTCCTGTCAGTCCGACAATTCAAGGGAAATGAAGTCCATGCACTCTAAGTTTCTTAAAATTTCTCTTGCTTAATGTTAGACTAGAATGGCATAGACTCTAATAGTCTTCATAGAATGGCAAAGTATGAATAGCTTATTAACATAACATAATACCGAATCCTTGGCATTGAAGGCCAAATCATTTAACCGAAAAAACTAAAATACCAATTGCTCTAAAAATGGATTTACACAGTAGATACATATACCATATAAACAGATCTCAGGGCAAAATAAAGAGTGTTTATATAGGTATATGAGGTAACATAATTAATATATTCAATCATACTTTAGTTGATCTTAATGGCATTGTCAGTATTCTCTGGCAGACCATTGTTTTATCATATCTTTTTCCTCATACTAGTAGGGATTTCATTTAGGAACACTTTTCGAAATTGTTTTCATCGTGTCTAAACAAGTAATCCATTTTATTTTCAACTTCTCTGTTGGTCCTTGTATGAAATGGCTTACTTCCTGCCTCGCTGTGTACAAACTGGACTTTTCTCGAAGCAATCAGGCACACGCAAACCACCAACAATCCCATTTCCTCTTAATAGGGTTGATAATCATGTATTGTGTTCTGAGTAATATTCCGAAGACAACGAGAAACGTAGTAATGGAAATTTTACCTCTTTAATTTCTAAACTCGCAAAAAAAAATTGTCTTACAATTATATTTATTTGGATTAAACCAGAGGCTCCAAGATACTCCAAATCAAAGTATCTTTGATTGCAGAGTGATTTTTAAAAACTGTTTAAAATGTATGAAATTTATTTAATCACTCAATTATGAGCTTACTACAACATTTATTGCATACATTGTTTCTATTAGAAAGTTTATTTCACTGAATAGTTTATTTCAATTTATAGCTGAAGTGTCAATTATAAAAAAAAAAATAGTTTATTATCACAAATCATGCGGCCTGCGAGACGTAGTAGAGGTTCCAATGTGGCCTGCAGTCCAAAAACTTTGGTGACCCTAGATTAAACTCTCTCCCAAAAAAACATCTTGTCAATTGATTTCCATTCTATTTAGACCAAAGACTCGGAATAAACATTGCAAACAACAAAAAACATATGTCTGTTGTAATACAGGAGAAGATTAGATGGGGTATTCACTAAAAAAAAAAAAGTTAAAATAAATAAATAATATTTATTTTTCTCTTTTGCCGACGTTTCGGCCCAAAGTTCAGGCCTTTGCCAGGGCTCAGAAAAATACAGATAACAATAGATATGATATACTATTAACATTAAAAAGAAAATAATAATAATATGAAGGAGAAAGGTATATTCTGAACAAATTAAGGTGAAGAAATTTAAAATAAATAAAGTAGGTAGAATAAACTTCCATAAGATATAAAATAACGATAAAAAAGTTGGGAATAGAAAGTATCTGAAGCAAAGCTAGGAAAGATAACATAACAAAGTTAGGAACATATGAACAAAAAAATACAGTCCTAATTTTTGTTATCGATATATTATATTTCCTTTAAGTTTATTCCACTTACTTTCTTTTACTTTAAGTTTATTCTACCTACATGTTTTTAGACTACATGTTTTTATACTATACCTTTCACCTACATATTGGTATTTTCATTTTAATGTCAATAGTTTCTCATATCCATTGGTATCTGGATTTTCTTAGTCCTGATGAAGGCCTGAACTTTGGGTAGAAACGTCTGCAAAAAATAAATAGAATTTATTAATTTTTTAACAGGACTTCCT